GCAATAGGATTTTTCCATTTCTCCCCTTCATCCTTTCGCTCCCACAGCTGTGTACATTTCGCTCTGCGCCTCTGACTGATGCCTGACAGACAGGTGATGAATTGGCGCAAGAGCACGTCGGTACAAAGCCGAGCGAATCACCGGCAGCAGCAGCAGCCGCAGCCTCACCCTGCCTTCACTCTTCCCTGTTTCTCCTTTCTCTCCTCTCTCTCTCCCTCTCTCTCCGTCTTTGGAGCAGACTCTCTGGCGCCGGCGCCGTGACGTCACCCCATTCACAGCAGCCCTCGAGCCAGCCCTCCCGGCGCCGCCGAGGCGGTTTCCATAGAGACGGGGTTTCGGGGATGTCAGTCAGAGGTGTTTCTCAGCTGATCGAGCCGGGGCCCGAACCAGGGAAGCGTTAACACCGGGGACGGGTTTGAGTCTCCGGAGGAGTCTGCTTTGGTGGTGGTGCTTCGAGGGACCAGCGGATTATCTCATTACAAATCTTAAAGAAGAAGAAGAAAATACCACTAAAGGAATGTGACCAAAGCCTCTGTAGTATGTAGAAGAAAGTCTTGTAACCCCGCAGCCATGCTGAAACACATCTGGACCCTTATTTGGGCGGTTATTTTAAAGCATTATCTAAAATAGCCCATTTTTAAATTTCTGTATCCAAATGCATGAATCACCAATCAAATCTGATTTTAAAAACTATATCTGTCTATCTATATAGTTATATAGATCTATAATATCTGTCTTTAAAACAAAGTTCAATTGGAGATTCTTCGAGTGCCGTGTCCGCTCCTATGATGCCTCTAGTGTGACTAAGTAGCCTACATTTACTCGCTAATGGAGGATAAGCTTACAGGTCCGTATTTATTTGATGCTACTTCTGCTACATCCCAACCCGCAGGGAACTACTGTGGACATACTTTTACTCCATTAGGCTATATTTATCTGACATCTATAGTCACTAGTTTAAGGATTAAGATTTTCCACAGGAACATTAAAGCCAAAGATAGATTAAAACCCAAGTGAATATAAAATAGCTTGATTAATCTTCATCTTGTAACAGATGAATCACTCATAATGATCCACGGATGCCGCTAAATAAGAACACTTGCATATTTTATGGAGTATGAATATGCTTCTTACTTTCCTAAGACTTCATGCATGCTGTGACTGTTTCAGTGCATGATTGGAGATTTTAATTTCTTTGTTTTATTTCTGAGTGTCATTATGAAATTAATTCTTTTTGTCTTTTCATTTGCACCAAACTTTATATTGTTAATGGTAACAAACGGTCAGCATCTTCTTTCTGTTTTCTGTGATTAGGTGTGGGTGTGTGGGAAGAAACCAACTGCAGGCCTATGTTCAACTATGTTTGGATTGATTTATTTTTAATTGCAAAACCTAACCAGTCTTTTTTCTTTTACTTTAAAGTAATCTGTCTCTTTTCTACTATGAAGCTCATACTTATTTCCATATGTGGCTGTATGTCCTGTTCTGTACCACAGTGTCAGAGTTCATGCATCACCTTGCGAAAAGCAGGGAAAGAACCTGCACAAAAGTTTGTGAGCGCACAGTCAGACTTTTAGAAACATGCCTCTGGGACTCCAGCAGTACTGCAAAACGTTTCCCAATTTTTTCTAAAGTAACACAGTGTTGTAACTCAGAGAGATAATCCAATCTGAGCGAACAGAATAGTAAAAAATAAAAAATAATAATAATGAAAAAAAATCCTCAATAACCAACTCTCTTTCAAATATCAAGGGAAGGATCAGAAAGTAACGTTCAGCACCCAAAGCGGAGTCGGGCGCTCTACAGCCCGACTGTGCTCCGGTGAACTTGTTGATCCTCCTCCCCTCTCCCTACCTAACTCTCAAGGTAAAAAGATGAAGCTGCCTCTAAACGATGTGCCGATCGTCTCCTGGTGCCAATACTTTAATTACGGGAAACGCAAAGAAATGAACTTTTTGGTCGACCCTGCTGCATGCAGTGAATCACAGTGGAGGCTATCAAAGTGTCCTCCCCGTGCGCCTAAAAGTTAACCCGAACGGCGACTGGTCTTCAGTTCTCATAATAACAGCAGAAATACTACTAATAATAATACTAGTAATAATAATAATACCAATTACAATAAATTAAAACAAGAAAAATAGGAGAAAATGTTATAATATCCCTCTACGGCTGATGTTATCGACCCCAGCCGTGTGATGGAGAGGGTTAAAAGCGGAGAGGAGAAAACACCGATGATTAAAAAGCTTTTTTTTCTCAATGGTTATTTAAACTCGTAATTTCTCAAATGTGGGTTTGATCGTACAAACCGCGCGCTCTCTTTCTTTCCTAACACTGAATTCCTCCTGCAATTCCGAGTCCTCCGACGTGACAACAGCCGAGTACACCGCAAGTAACACTTTGCTCTCCACCGTCCCTCAGTACCGAGCGGTCTCCCCTTCGACATTCTTCTTCGTAGGGCTGCCACGCGCCTGTCGCGTGGAGGAGTGTACACATCAAACAGTGGTGCAGTGACTCTTTAAGCAGCGTCTATTCTGCAGGGCGGGGTTTGCTAAAATAGGCCCACACCCCCAAACACTGATGTGATGCGGTGGGGTGAAGCGTGATCAGCCCCCGAGTCACCTCTAGCACGGTAAAGGCTTTCTTTTACATTTATCGCAGCTGAACTGCAGACTACGATCAGGCTCATCGTCAAGTAATCTGCAAATTAGCTTTTCAGTAAACCCGTTAATCAATAATAAGACAACAGCAGCTTACAAAAACCACCATTGGGATTTTTTGTTGGTATTTTTGCTCAAGAGCCGACACAGATTTACTCATTATCAAAAGAGCTGTTGAATCATTTTCTTTCAAATTCATCGGACTCATTGTTTTATCTCAGTGCAGTAGAATAACTAAAAGGTTATGTGAGACACGCTAAGTTGTCAGCCCACATTTGTGACTTGATTATGTGAAATACTGATATGTTTGATTTTTTTTTTTAAGATCAGAGAGACTGTTGCATTGATTTAACTGGCAGCTGACTAAAATCCTCCATCCTGTTGCTTTCCTTGTCTTCCAGTTCACCTCCTGCCCGTCTTTTAGTCTGTCCTGTGGTCCAGATGGGACTCTCTCTGCTCTCTGAGCAACGGCCATGCCTGGCTTTACTGTAACGTGAGAGGCTGTGGCCGCATCACATGCAAGCACTGGGAGAGATCTTGGCCAGATTGGTCTGGGAGACAAAGGCCGTGGCTGTCCAAGTGCCTTCCAGGCTGGTGGTGGAGTGGCCACTCCAAGCCTCCCTGGAGGCCGGCCTTCCTCTTCTGCTTCTCCCCAACGCACAGCTGGCTGCAGGAGAAAAAGTGGAGGATGGAGATGGACAGTTGAGCTGCAGCAATATGATGTGCATTATGCTACCACTTACATCTATAGTTTAAACCGTTCAAGCAACTAGTTGTGTAAAGTTAGAACTCCACTTATTTTCTGCTGAACCGCTCGGCTTCTTTGGACAGAGAAACAACCACCAACCAGTTGGCAGTGTGAAAAAGTTGGCTGCAGTTTAACTTTTAGGCAATATTGCCCGTTGGCATACAATCACACGCTAACATTGCTGTGTCGCCCACCTATCACTGCGGTACAGCTGTCACTGCAGCTAGCAGTCTGCACCCCCGTAATCAGATATCTGCATATCTCCACTTTCACACAGGGAGTATGACAGTGTGGGTTCTAGTAGAATATTGTTAAAAGATGATTGTGGAAATGAGATTTTTTCTTAATGCAGCTGGGAGAAGAGAGGTGAGCTGGTGTGTGAGTGGAAATTAGGAGTTGGGATTGCTTATCTGTCACAGCTACAGGCATGTGACAAAAATGTTTTTTTAAGTCAGCGTTAAGGTGTGGCGTTAATGACCACTAGTCAGTTACTGTTAGGATGTGACAGGTGCAGGAACAGTGTAATATCATTGTGTTCGTCATTTTTAAACTGATGAAGTTTGGGGCTGTTTCAATCCCAGGGTTCAGTTTGTCAGGTTCCTCTATTCCAAGGGGAATTGAGAATGTATATGAGACGTGAAACTAGGTTCTGATACCACCTAGCCCTCAGACTTCTTGGATTCTGTGGTAATGCGGTTGTGCGTGCTCGTCTCGAAGATGATATGTGTCAAAAAAGCCATTTTGGTTAAATAAGCTTTAGCCTTGCATAAGCGGTCCCCTATTTTCATTCACGACACCAAATTTCAGTAAAGTTATTACTGCCGTTTTGCAAGACATTCCAGGAACTAGAGCAATCTCTTCACAGGGACCATTTCTAATAGCATACAGAGAGCTGTATCATATCATTTTTCCTCAGCAGACCTTAAGAGTTCAAGAGTTCAATTTGTTTTTTCTTTATGGATTGCAAAAGCAAGTCTTTGAATCTTTGGAAACATGCTGAAGCAATGTGCATGAGCATGCAAGAGAAAAGCCAGTTAAAGTTTAAAGGGGTTTGTTGAAATAAGTCTAGAAGCAAAACAAAACTGGAGCAAACCATTAAGAAATGGATTTGGCATCTGAGCTGCAGCTGTTAACATTTTGGGCCAGGAAGCACATCATTAACGAAAAAAACCCCAACAACTAAACTAAACTAAAAATAATACAATAACACAAAATGTAAAAAAATCTTGCCACGATTAAAGCTGAAAGATCTTTACTGAACCATGTAGGGTCATGTTGGTACAAAATTGTTCTAAAATTGTTCATTTTTAATCCTTTCAATAAAAAAGACAATCAGCTGTAAAAGACCTACAAGGATCTTTAGCTGGAGAGGATGCTAGATTTGTCTGGGACATGTACGTTACTTTACCACAATATTTAACCATGAAGAGCATATTTAGAACCTTAATTTGCTTGGTTTATTCTCAGACCACCACATGCACATAAACTCTACAAAAATGTTTCTTTTTTTAGTTAAAAGAAACACATCATAGCTGGAGTCACGTTTGTGTTCAATACACTGGGCCAAGCAACCAAAAAATTGATTTATATCTTTAATTCCACGTAAACTATTCAAACAAAAAAGACATATCTACCTTTTCTTATGTGTCAGCAATCTTTGTTTTTTTTTTTTCCAAATTTAAAAACCTCCAAAAACTTAACATTTCCACAAGACATCACAGACATGGTGAAACAGTATGATCCAGCTCTGGGGACAATCAGCAGGATTTACGTCTTTACTGCCGTGTCTCTGGATTTGTAGATCACCCCTCTGCTTTTCAGCTCTCTCACTGGAGGTAGTCTGCCAGTCACTGAAACTGCATATACACCTGGCTTGAAGTTGCCTATTCTCTGCCATTTAGCCACCCAGCTATCTTCAGGACTCATCATGGCGATCACACCATCAAACGAGGAACTTGTGCATTCATACACCATCTCTCGGTTCCCCTTCATCTGGAGGTATGACTCACAGTTGTCACAGCCATCATATTCAAACTGGTCAATGGTCTTCACTAACGAACAAAGCAGACAGGCTCTCAGGTGGCGCAGGTCTTTGGGGACTGTTTCTAATGCCATTATGTTCGGACGAAATAATTGAACAAACACTAAACAATCACGCCGACTAATATTATGATGATTTATATCTTTAAGGTACACGACCTTATGCTTGACTGCTGCGACACACTCCGACAGGAACACAAGAAGAAAACATTTCGGACTGACTTCTGTCTTTTGCAGAACTCTGTTTCCTTCAGCTGTATCTCTTAGTTGCAGCAAAGCCCACTTCCTTCTAACCACAGTCATCTTGCTCTTACTCAATCTTTATCTATTTATACAGCAGAGAAGGAAGAGAGAGTTAATGTAGGAAACACACTTATTTCTGTAAAAACAGGTCAGCCCTGTTTGATACATTACATGCTCCTATACATTCACTGACCACCGGTACATCACCATAAATACATTTTGAAAGGATGTTGTAGACTATGTGTTCATATTTGCAATGGACCTGTGTACCCCACCTCTCACCCCATGCCACCTTCTCATGCCATTAAAGTGATGTTAATTGCTGTTTGCATTTTGTTGTCTTAAAAGTTGTTCGTTTTAAAGCTGCTACGGAGAATTACATCATATGGAATGTAGTGGCTCCATCGTGTAGTGGTTAACACCTTCTTCAAAAATCCCTAATTTCCTAATTTGCAACCTGGAGGGCAGACAAAACGTACCAATTCCAAAAAGTGCAGTACCTCGAATGGCCACTTGACTCTGGCTCCAAAAGTGAGTTATTCGACTCCCACTTACAGACTCGTCTAGGACACTAACAAAATTCTCTGTTAAATGATAAATGGCTTGTTTTGAGGGTAAGAAATGCCAGTAGTAATGATGCTAAACTGCAGGTAATAAACCCAAAAGTTACAAACCAGTAGATGATGTCATGATGGCTCTATCTGTAATACAGTTGTGGTTAGAAGTTCATCATGGGCATGAATGTTATGGTAATTTTAGGATTTTAATGATTTCTTTCAGCCTTTTCTAGGGTGGAATTATTCTATAGCATCCATCTTTAATGACTTTAAAAACAAGAATTAGGTGCACAAGTTTGGATTCATTCTGGATCTTCTCTACTATACACAGGGTCATACAGTATACATACAGGCTCAAATATATACACACACCCACACTAATATTTTGTCAAATGTCCTTTGACAAGTTGCACTTCAATCAGATGCTTTTTGTAGCCATCATCAAGCTTATGGCATAATTCTGGCTGGATATTTGATCACTCTTCTTGGCAGAATTGGTAGAGTTCATTTAAATTAGCTGGATTCCTGCCACAGACGCAGCTTTTAAGCGTAATGCACAGATCTGAGGTTAGAGCTTTGGGAGGTCAGCTTAATGTTAGCCTGCTTTATCATTTTCAAAACCAGTCTTGATGTGTTTGGGATCATTGACCTGTTGGTACAGCCAAGTCTCAACCATCTAGCTGTTGCGTTAAGGTGAAGATGAAGGTTGTCCTTTAACCTTCCCGTTGTTCTGAGCATTGATCAATCCAATTAGTGGTGTCAAACAAATCCTTTTTATGCTGGCAAAGCCAAAGTATCAGTTTTAGCCAGTCATGATCTTTAAGGAGAAATGAATAGGCCTTGACAAGTCAAAAGACATTTTAGCATGTTTAGCATAATTTATTAAAAGATTTAAGAATGTATGTGTGAGATAATCTGACTCGAGCGTCAAGGAAGGTGGCAGGTAAGCAGACTCAGCAGACATTTTGGGTTCCCAGAGATAGGCAATTTATTCACAGTTACCTCCATCATATGCAAAACTCCCCCAAAAACAAACCCAAAACCACACAGCTTTAGTAACCCAACTCTTCTCTCCTTCCTCTGAATCAGCAGAGACTGACTACATATAGGGCTATCAATTTCCCTTCAGTTAGTCTAGCCAGTACCACTAGCTTGAGCTGAGGAATCTAAAACTAAACACAAATGACTGAGAATTACATAAAGCTCACCACTTGTCTGATTAACACATTTATGCAACTAAATTGCTCTCTATAAGAAAAAATATTCAACAAGTCCCGCTGTATCCCGAAACAAACAAAAGGAAGCATTCCTATGGTAAAAGAAACCCCTCCTCTTGGTTTAACCTGCTGATGTCAAACATGACATCATCAGTACTTTAAAAATCAGGAAATGCTGAGCGGGCCTTTCCTCACACCTGACCTACATGAAGACTGAAAACAAAAAACAACGTGAGTATGCACAAATTTTGCAACATAATAAAATATAAAGCAACATGTAACTGAGTATTTGCTTTAATTTGCCGAATGTTTGGTTTGCTGGCAATATAATGCTTACACAAACAAACCCGGGATAGTAAGTGCTGCAATGTTACTTTGACAATAACAAATCATAGCGAATAAATATATAGAGAGAATAATGTGCAAAAAGTCCCTTCTGGGACAAGTGGAGAGTATTTCAACCGCTCATCCACTTTGTCACAGTATGTATATGTTTGAGGCAGTTATATTGTGGTACCGTTGGCTCATAATTGTTCACATACTTTGATAAAACAGTGTGAACAATGCTGTAGACAACACATGGGAAAAAATGTGGTGAATGCTTTTGGACACATCTTGGATTCACATGACTCGTGCTTGTGTTCGCCACTCATATTGGTATCTGACGCTTTGATTTAAGATTTGTAGAGATGCTTAAAGAAAGCAGACGTCAGCTCTGTTAAACATCTGTCTGCAGGGCTGTGGACTTGTGGTCGTGGGTCCCCGTGTTGTAGTGGGTTGCTGACGTTGTCTTGTCATGCCTCACATGCAGATTTGCTGCTGTAAGCACACCGAAGTGGTCAGGTGGATCATTGAGAGCCAGTGCTTTTAACTGATCACAACAACAAAGGTTCTCACAGCCCTAATCCTCTTTGGCTCTTATCTCTCACCCCTCCTCACCCGTCACCCATCTCATCGGCTCACACAGGATCAGACCTACCAGCGGACTTTCTCATGCCTTTCTCTTTTGGTGTACTCTTAATATCCCCATCACTTTCTCTCTCTCTCTCTCTTTCCTCTTAGATTATCTATCTCGCGACGCTGACGCCGTCTTCGCCTTTTTTAAAAAATTCTTTTTTCTCTCTTTCACTTGCACAATTTTATCGCTTCTTTCCCACCAAGTGCATCTAGGTCTTAAAGGACCCTCTTTACCCTTTGACTAACAAAAGCTGAGTCACTTTTGAAATGAAGAGCAAAGTCTTTGAATGACACTCGCTAAGCCCCATTTGAAGAGAAGTTTCAGTCTCTTATCAACAATAGCTTCACCCCTGTGTGTCGACTATGATCAAGCATAAGGCGTTTCATTCAGGACGGTGGGAAACTAACCAAAAAAAGCAGCCGAGAGAAAGCGTTTGAAGGAGAACTTCCTTAAGCTGTGGCATCTTTACGTCTTTGTGATGTAATTACATTAAATCCTCAAAAAACCTGCTGTGTTTCACATTGCCGCTAGTTTTTACTTCCTCTATATGACAAGCTCCAGCACAGCTAGTCCCAGCCAACAGGTTAATGTGGCCATTTACTTTTATCTCAGCAGAATGAATCAACCTTTAAAGGCTATTACTGTTATTAAAAATGCCCCAGAGGGAGCAGCTATGGCTTGTGTATTTCCAGGGTTTGTGTATGTGTTGCAGTTAGGTTTAGATTATTGGGACTTATTGGAGTAACAAGCTAATGGAATTAAGGTGCTGGATTTCATGCACCGTTGCCAAGATTCAGCATTAAAAGGATGTGTGCTGAATAAATAGTGCTTTAAGTAGATGAGATTCCGACACGGCAGAGATTCGCTTGTCAGAGCAGCATTGTTTGCTTGGCTCCTGAGCCAGTGAAACTGTCAAGTGTGCTGCTGGCCACGGATAGATGGATGGATGGAGGTTTCAGAAAGCGGATTTCTCTTCTCAAAGTGCATTTTTAGACGCTGAAGTTGACAAACTCTTCAAATGCTGAGAGGAAAGAAACTTTTCCTTTCGCATTTAGCTTTCAGAACGCAAAGGCACGAAGCGGCTCTGAAAGGAACTGCTGGAAGCACACCTAAAGACACCAACACCCTCCATAGACGAGCAAAGGTTTCTATACAGATCTATATTTGCCAGCTAATTACATACATGAAAAGCAGAATCAAAACGAAATCCAAATATTTACCAAAATAAACTCGTGTTTTGTTTCATTTCTCCGTCAGCTGTGCCAGAACAGAGTCCTCTCCATTACAGATAATTCATCTGATGTTTGTGTTTGTTGGTGGATTAGCTGGGAGGCGTTGCTGTTGGCCCAGGCTGTAAAACGCTCTCATCTGTATTTTAATGGACTAAGAAGCAGTGGGAGGATGTGGCTCCGTGCCACAATTTCACAGTGAAAGAGAGGATCGTATGTAGCAGGTAATCTATTTGTGAGAGTGTTTTATCCGTATAAATGGAATTAGTGGCTGGTTTGACGACACATTAAAAAGGCAACGTTGAGTTCGTGTGCGTGCGCGCCTCTGTGCTTGGGGAGCCATATTTGATCGACCCTAATTGGGATTTCAGTGCAAAAATCTGTCTTTGCTTTAATGATGCTCTGGATGCGATGGAAAATCCCCCCCCCAAAAAAAAAGAATACAAAAAAACAAAGGCATTGAAATCAGAGTGCACCTAGACTAAAGTAAAAGTGGAATCATTAAATTGTAGATGGATGTATGAAGTACCGCTGGCTGCAGGATGCACTTTTGAAGGCTTATCACAGAAAAAGCTCTAAATTTAATTAAGAAAAAACCCACCAGTCCACACCAGTTTCACAATAAGATGAAGCAATTGCGCAGAGAACCTGTAGCTGTTTTCTTTCCCAGCGAGTGTTTTAAAGCAAATTGACAGCATGCGAGTATCACACAAAGTCATGCATACACAAATACACACACGGAGCTTGCAGATGGTAGGGTCTCTCCTACCCGGCTCTTTGTAGCCCTTTCACAGTTTGAGAGGAGGAAGAGAAGCCTTGTCTTTTATCATGCTCTGAACGCAGCAGTGTTGACATTGGGATGGCACCTAATTAGGTTAGGCCCAGCACAGCATGCATGGTTAACTAGGCTGGCCTAGGCCTCAGGCTCCACAGA